TGGCGGCGGCTCTCCCGGCACCGTCCGGCCGTGCCCGCTCCCCGCTCTGCCCCGAGCCGCCGTCGGTGCCGTACAGTGCAACGACTACAGATTCAGCCGTCGCACTCCGGCCCCCGGGCACCCTCCGCCCCGCGGCCCGGCGGTTCCTTGGCTTTGTCGTTCGTGCGAGCAGAATTAAACATTAAGCACAGAGCCGCGCTCCTCTCTCTCGTCGCCGCCTTTTGCTCAGCCCCCCGGGGCACCCCCAGCCTCCTCAAGTCAGGCGAACCCCATGCCGAGACTTGGCATGAGTGCAGCCGGGGCTTTGGGGCTCCCGCTGGGGACGGTCGAAGCCTCCCCAGGCGCTCCGCTCCACTTGTCCTTAGCGCATGGATGCACGAAGGGCTGACGGGCCCCGATCCAGGGAAAGACCTGTAATTTCAGTGTGTGTTTATGTCCCACCGTCCAAGAGCCGGGCTGTTTCCAAGGCCTCAGCTGCTGTGCCACAGCCCCGGCTGGGGCAAAAAATGCCCCACGGGCCAGCCATTGCCACTCCGCTTTCCATTAGTGATGAGCAATATACAGCGCGGGACACAGTTTAGCATCCCAGACAGCCAGAGACGAACCGTTGTGGGAGCACCCGCTATGGCTCATGGTGGCCGAGACCACATTTTTGGTTCAGGGTGACCCTTTAGGGGAGGTAAAACAGCCTCCCTTCCACTTAAGTGCTTGGGAAATGGAAGAGTAGAGCATTGCGCAGGACAACCCAATACGGTGGGGAGCAGAGCACAGTGCTCTGGGGCTGTAGCCACAAATCTTTCCTGGTCCCAAACCTCACTCAGCTTATCCTGGGGGAGTTCTGCAGGTCTGCTCCCCCGGGGAGGTGACCGAAGCCCCTGAGCCACAGTGACTCCCTGCTAATCACAGTGAGCCAGGACTCGGGAATCACTTCCCCTTCACCTCAGGCTGAATCAGAGCACCACAACCTACATACGGCTCCTGCCCTCACCGCACCCTCCCTGCCTGCAGAGGAAGGACACCAATGCTGCAGAGCTTCACAGTGGGAGAAGGGGATTTGGCCCATCTCTACAGTCACCAAAACACCCAGACCGGGGTGTTGGACAGATTGTTTTGGGGTTCCTCACACGGGACAGGGCTGCAGGACCTCCTCTTTTCATGGCTTGGGGGCTAAAAACCCCAAGGCTGTGCATGCACAAACAAAATCAGGCAAAGACACTCCCACATCCACAGCCTGGTGAGGACCCCTACTCTAATGCTCAAAATTAAAGTCAAGTCCTCTTAGCTGCTTCCTCCCAGAAATGCTGAGAATTTGGAAAAAAAATAGTGCTATGCAAATGCAGTGGCATTTAGCTGTGGCCTTTTTCTGTATGCATGTGAGGGGGGGACCTTGCCGCAGGCGCCTCTCTCCCCAGGCAAGCTGAAAGGCCGCGGCAGGGACTCATGCCTTTTTAATGAAGGGGTTTGCAGGTAGGACCCCCTGCCCCACCTGCTCTTCCGTTCGTGCTGGGAAGGCTTTCTTTGATAGCAGGAGCTAATTGCCACAGACCTCCCAAGATGGGCTGTTTAGGGACTTTGAGGAAGTCTTTGTAAATAATCGCAGAAGAGAACTATGTGGGAGAGGGATTAAACAGCATCTTGGTTGTGTTTTCAGCAGGTCCTTCCCAAGGTCTCACCGATATGGTCCTTCCACACAATTTCAGAGCTCCTCTTTCCTCCCGGGTCACAGCCGCCCCCATGGCTGGTCTGCCAGGGATCCCTACCTGAAGCCAGTTCATACATGCCCTGCTGACTCCAGATAACACCAAGGATTTTTTTTATTTTTTTTTTTAATCATGGTGTAGCTCTAAACCCAACAACCTAACAAATTTTTGTATACCCAGTAGGTCAGACTTGGAGTCTCGTCCAAAGCCAAAAGGACAGGCTTGCAAGGCGACTTTCCAGGAAACCATATTCATGGGCGCTGTTTATATGTTTAATCTCTAAATTGCAAATTAATCGCTCCCCTATTTTGCTGATGGGAGATGACAGGTTAAGCATTCCAGTCTGTCATGCCTGTTACTGGACTTCCCATCACCATGTGACAGCCGGGTGTTACCTGACTGCTCACGCTTTTCATTCCAGATGTTTTGGAAATGCCTCCTTACCACCTGGGCTGTCTTCACCTGCCGCTACTGCTACTGCAGAGAATCCTTGGCACTTGCCCACGTTTCTTTTTGAACCCAAATATTTTATTGTTTGCTTTTTATCTTCCCCCATGCCACAGCAAGGTGCTGTTTAAATGGCAGAGAGGGGAAATTTGGTCCCTCCTGGAAAAATCAGTGTTTGAGGAGGGGTGGAAACAGTCCCTTCCGCTGCTCACCCAAGGGCTCCGTCACTGCTGCTGTTCAGCAGCTCCCAGTCTTTCCCAAACAGCCTCTGCGGGTCAGGGCATGCGGGATTTGCACAGGGCGGCAGGGGCGCAGCCCATCACCTCCCACCACAGCCTCGAAACCCTCACTCCTTGCCCCTCGCCCACTGCAGGACACGGCTGGCCGGATTTCTGCTTTTCCAGAAGGGCTGCATTTCCCTGCAAAACTCTGCAGGTGCGATGCTTGCAGGGGACTCGGGGCTTTCCCGCTAGATGGAGTGCGGGGGAAAATAGAAACCTCAGCGGTGCTGCATAGGGAAAAGGAGAGCCATTCCTGTCTCCTGGAATGGGCTGTGGGGCTGCAAGCGAGACAATGCGTGGGGAGCTGCGCTGGGGGCATCCCCCGTCCTGAATGCAAATAACGGGGGACATCCCTCTGCACCCTGTGTGCCATATTGAGTTCTTCATGGAAAAGCAGGGCCAACCGAGCCCCCAGGAGGTGACGAATACTTCTCGCCCACTGCCCTGGTGAGATGCTCATTTGCAACCACGTTATTGAGCCGCTCACCCCGCTGCCGGGAGCTGGCATGGACAATGCCTAGCGGGTGCCTGCAGCTCCCTGTGTGTGGAGGGTTAGCATGGGGAGATCAAAAGAAGAAAAAAAGTAACTGAGCTGCTTACTGCTGTGCCTTTCGCTTCTCAGAAGCATTTGTGTCTTGGCTGCAGGCTCCCCAAGACCTCAAATTGGAGCCAGGCTCATGCAGAGGGGTGCGTGACACAGGGACAGGCCCTGCACAGCACCAGGGCCTCCTTTTGCACGCCGCTCTGCCAAGTTGCCTTCTGCAAATGTCTCCGCTCTGCTCCGTGGGCTCAACACCAGCACACAGCTGTTGCCATCCCACACACAGTGACCCACAACCCCTTTCCCTGCCTGCGTGTCCAAGCCCTGCAGCCACTGCCAGCCCCATAGCGAGGGGAGCCACAGGACAGCTGCCCATCCTCACTGCAACCAAGCACGACCTGCCCCACTAGCCCCAAAAGGAAAGCACAGCACCCCACGGGCCCTGTGGTGCCAGACTCAAGCACGCAGCCTTCGAGCTTGGCCATTTATTTGCTCTCTGGTGGAAGCCGCGTGCTGTTGGGGCCACATCCTCCTGCCCCACTTGCATTCACCAGCGCGGGGACATCACTCACTGCTCAACAACACCCTGGGGGACCACAGGTGCCACCGGGACAGCAGGCAGGACCTGGGGCCGCCAGCTGCTCCAGCAGCTGGAAGGGATCACAGATCTTCTCCTGGAGGTTAGAGAACAACCCGGGGCAGGATCAGGCCAGAGGGAAGCAAGAGGCACACCGACAAAGCAGCATTTACCCCCCACTCACTCCCAGCCAGCGGGGCAGCCCAAGCAGACCCTCCGTAGCTAATGTGGGGGCAACCCCCGGTCACTCCAGCTGCTTTTCTCTGCTGCAGGGAGGAAGCCAAGAGCTCCTCTGGGACTTTGGCTCTGCTTTTATCTGAGAAATGCCTCCTGCTTGGACAGGGACCCAAGAACATCTCCCCCTCCCCAAGGACAAGGTTGTGTTTCAGGGACGCGCAGCTGCAGGGCCTTATCTCCCTTGCCTCTCCTGGCCCATCTACAGGCTGGAGGGACCACTAAAGAGAGGAGGAGGGAGGCTTCCAGCAGATAGAGGTGCTTTGTACTGCAGGGTCAGGGCTGGCAGCCAGGGCCAAGCTCACATCAGCAGCTGGGAGAACGACGGATAGGAAGGAGCTGCAGGGATGGGCCATCACCTCTCTAGGGCAGGCTGTCTCCAGCCATCTCCCCACAGGAAGGATGCCTCCCCTTGGGAGACCTCAGGCAGTCCAGCTGTGAGCTTCAGCAGCCCCCGTGGACATGTTGGAGGGGCAAGACTCCTGGTGCTTAGAGCAGACCCCCACTTTGGAGGGCTCCAACCTGTGCTGGGCTGTAGTTGCCCACACTCAGGCACCAGGCACCACTCTTGGTGCCCCATGGGCTCCTGCCTGGTCGAGAAGGACTCAGGTCTCTTGGTGTCATGCCATAGCCCCTCTGATACCCCAGGGCAACTCTGATGGCACGGGACACCCATGTCCCCACCCCTGAACCCAGCCGTGCAGCTGCCTGCTACCAACCTTCACCCCCTTGAAACAGCAGCCCTGCAGTGCGGCAGCGTTGGCCCTGCCAGCTTGGATCAGGAACTTGTCCGCAAACCTGGAGCTCCGCAAGATTGCAGCCATCTCGGCATCCACATCTACCACCTCTCCTTCCTGAGGGGAGAGGGACAGTCACAGGGCTGGGGTCTGGGATATGTGGCCCAGAGGACCCCAGCCACCCAGCCAGGTGATGGGGAGAGTGAAACAGGGGCACAGCCTGGCCCAAAACCTTAAGAAACACCCACAATGACCAAGCAGCTGGCTTCAAGCCCTCCTGTGAAGCCACCATGGATGTCCTGCTCCTACCTTCACCCCAACATGATGCATGGGTCTGGCTCCCTTTCCCACCCGTTTGCTCCTCTGCTGGTTTATACAGCCCCTTTGCTCCTGCCCACCACCCCCTCTACCAAAGCTTACCCCCAAAATCACAGAGGATGCTGCTGAGTAGCACTGTTCCATCAGCTTTATCCCATCCCTACAGACCAGGACTGCCTAGCATCCTGGGGAGCCCCAGCCTGTCTCCCCATACCTTGAAGGTGAAGTTGGCATCAAACACCAGCTCTCGCTCGTGCCCCACGATCCCACCATTGTAGATGACCTGGCCCGGCCCGGCCTGGCTGCTACCCGGCACCTTGAACAGGCGGAAAGTTGCGGAGACAAAGCGGCAGTCACCTGCAAGGTAGATGTTGGTGGATTGGACACCCAGCACCCAGGCTGGGAACTGGCAAAGCCTGAGATCCCAGCACAGCTCCCCACAACTGCCTGGAGCCAATGATCCCTGGTCAGATGCTCACCGATGATGCCCTCCAGCTCCTTGTCAACAATGGTGATGGGGCTGGCGGTGACCAGGCACGGGAGGCTGAACCCCACCTCCTCAGCGATGCTGTACAGGTCTCTCCAGTACAGAGCTCCTCCCAGGCACTCCCCTGGCACGAGACCACAGACACGGGTGATGAAGCAAAGGTCTGGTCCCCCCCATCCCGTGCCACCCCCATCCCGGAGCCCTACACACCCCACAGCACCCTGTGCTTCTGGACGGTCTCGCTCAGGCGCTGGCTGGCATAGACATCACTGAAGTACATCTCTCCCCCAGGCTGGAAGGCAGCAAGGAGTGAAGGGACATCCCCAAGAAGCAAAAGAACAAAAGGGGCAGGGAGAACTGGGCACCCCCCAACACTACCCTGCTTGGAACCCTCTGCAGAGGTGCCCTCCCCTGGTCCCATCCCACATCCCTGCCTTGCTGGATCCCGTTTGCTGCATCCCAGCAGCACCCCAATAGCAAGGCCACCCCAACTCCCCTCCGCTCCCGCTGCAGGCACCGGCCCCAGCATTACCTTCAGCACACGGTAGGCCTCCCGCAGCACAGCCCTCTTGTCGGGGGCAAGGTTGATCACACAGTTGGAGCTGGGGAGGAGGAGACCGAGGCTCATTTGCACCCTCTCGCACACTCAGCACCACCGGCTGCTGCACATCCACCGGCTGCTGCATGTCCCATTGCTTCATGCAAGATTTGCAGACGCCATGAAAAGGGCAGTTCGTATATTCTGAGGATCTAGCCCAGATTCTGCCTTGGGATTTTACCTTTCCTAACATGTGCTCCTGAAGCAGGCGACCCAGTGGGATGCGGACCCGGACCCCAGCCCATGGCCCCGGGCAGCAGCATGACTGGGGGTGGCAGTGCCCTGCATGGTACCTACATGACAATATCGTAGCTGTCATCGGCCAGCCCAGCATCATGCAGCTTCTCCATGTAGCCCTGGAGGAACTCCACGTTCGGCTTTTGGTAGCCAAACTTGTCCATGTGGTAGGCAATGTGCTTCTTTGCCACCTCAACCTGGGAGGAGGAAGGGAATGATGGTGGGAGGATGCTGGCAGGACAAGGGGAAGCCCCGGCTCCGTGCCATACCTGCCCTTCGGTCATGTCTATCCCGGTGATGTGGCCCCGCTCTCCAACCAGCTGGCTCAGCAGGTAGCAGTCTCTGCCACTGCCGCTGCCCAGATCCAGGATCCGGCATGACTCCAGGTACTCGGGGATCACCAGACCACAGCCATAGTACCTGGGGGGATGCTGAGCTGAGCTGGGCAGAGGTGCCCCCACGGCGTGGTGGTCCGGGGGGGCTGCAGCCCATGGGGACGCAGCAGTGGAGGGGAGACCCTGGGGTTTACCTGGCTACCACCTCCTCATGGACACGCTCCAAAGCATCTCTCACCGCCTTGGGAAGGGGCCTGGCCGAGGTGACACACGCACTGGTTTTCAGGTCATCTGACTTCTGCAGCTCTTTGCCATAGTAATCCTGAGATGGGAAGGACAGAGGCCACCAAACTATGGCAAGCCACGCCCCGGGAGCACCCCATGCACCAAAATGTGGGGGGCCATGCCTGCACTTGGCTTGTATGTGCCCCCGGTGTCCTCTGGCACTCTCATTTGTGCCCAGCTAAAAATTAGGCTAACATCAGGCATCCCTTTGCCCCTATCCTCCCCGTCTCCCCTTGTTTGCATGCACAAATGTGTTTGTGCAGCGAGGGATTTAATTCCCACTTGCAGTAACTTTGCAGGCTGCAGGCACCATTTCCCCAGCTCAGGATGAGTGTGGGGAACAAGGGCAGGGAAACATGGGGTTGCTCAGCCCCCCCTCCCTGCGGGAAACGGGAGCAAAGCAGCCGACCGCACCTAACATTTTTATCTGGGCCCTGAAACAAGCTTTGCCCTCTGAGCGCAGCAGGCATCCGGGCACAGCCTGGCCTTGGCCCCCCCTGCCCAGCCGCCCCATCCACCCTCCAGCTCCCACCCACGCCCCTCACCTGCACCTCCCGGTGGATCTGCTCTCCGCAGGGGGTTGCCACTGCAACGGGAACGTGGGGCTGGTGCCTGACGCCACAGTGACGGGCACTGCGCCAGGCCTTCCCGAAGGCCCTGAACCCCCCTCTTCCTCCAAATACAGGAGCACTTTTTGCCCTCCCCCCTCCCCCAGCAGTACCCAGGGACACCCTCCTTAACTTGCAGCCTAGTGGGATGCTCCTGGGGGCACCTGACAACCCCCCCCCCCCCCCCAAACCACCCAGTCCCAGCTGCCCTGGAGACATGAGCACCCAGAAAATTCCCCGTAGGACAAATCCGCCCCCCAGCTTGGTAGAGAGACCTCGGCCCCAGGGATACCCCCAGGGAGGCCCCAGCACCCGGCAGCAAGGGCCCCGGGCTTCCTTACTGCCTCCAGCTGCAGCGACTCGGCCAGACTCTGCCCAGCCTGGGCCACGCTCCGCCCCGGCACCCCGCACCGCCCCGGCACCCCGCACCGCCCCGGCACCCCGCACCGCCCCGGCCGCCGGACACACGGCCCCATAGCCTCCCCGCAGGTCTCCAGCCTGGTGGAGGGAGCCGGCCCCGCTCCCACGGAGGTCACGTTGCCGTCACCCACAGTCCGTGCCTGCACCCACAGCCCCAAATCCCCACCCTTCTGTCTCCCCCGCCAATAGCTCTGCACCTCCCAAGCACTGTCCCTCCTCACCCCAAATGCAGGGAGAGCCGAGTTTAATGCCGCACGGCTGCTCCGGCCCTCCAGAGGACAGGACCTTGGACGGGACAAGCCACCTGCAGCAAGGACACACTGCATCTGCAAAGAAGCCCCCAGAGTTGAAGCACAATGGTGGACACCAGGGGGCAGAGACCCACCGTCCCAGTCTCCCCCCTGCACAGGGACGGCCAGCGATGGCATCCAGCACAGACTGCTGCGGTTTGGTAGTGTTCAGGGCAGCTTTTATTCCCAGCAAGTGAGTCACAGCTTCTCCAACAGCTCAGGGAAAACCCTCATTTCCACAGTGCATCTGCAAAGCCGGGGATCAGGACCCCTCCCAAGGCAAAAATACCCCCCATGGCCCTGGGCTAACAGTGGCAGCTTCGCGGGGATGCAGGAGCTGTGGTGCCACCAGGTGACACCCAAACAGGCAGTGGCACTGGAGGGGATGATGAAATCCAGCCCAGAAGGCTCTGCAGCACAGGAGCCAAAGCCCAGCAGTGCTCCAACAGGAACGTGCCAGGCCGATGCCCACTCTCAGCCTGCCTTCTCCTATCAGCTGATGAAAAGCACACTCGGGCAAACAAGTGCTTCCCGTGCACTCCAAGTGCTCCAGATAAGTGACTTACCAAAAACAAGACACAGTATTTATAGCCTGGGCCTGATGTCGCTCCCCGGGATGTGAACAGGAGCCTGGTCTCTAGTCCTCCCACACAGAGCAGTGCAGAACTGAGCACACCGGCTCATGATGTTCTCCTGCCTGCTTCCCGGCCGGGCCTTTGGATACCTTCCCAACCAGATACAAACACACACCACAGCCAAGGTTGCTTCACCAAGAGCTGGAGCAGCAGCCCAGGAAGAGGAATGCAGTTGAAGGCCGAAGGCAGTGCAGACCGGTTGACAAGGGGATGATGTTCCAAACTCTGGCAGAGTGGAAAAGAAGATAACCTCCGAGCAGGATGCTGGCCAAACCATGTCCAGCTGGACCAGTGAGAGAGGTGTGTGCCCAGATTCCCGCTTTCAGAAATTCTGGCCTGGAACTGGCACCTCAGTCTGCACTGAAGCACCTCTCTCACCCACCCAGGCACTTACAGCTCCTGCTGATTAACATGCCCTAAATAAATTGCACTCTGTGCCATCTCTGTGTCTAAATACAGACCAGTGTCAAACGGCAGGCGCCTGTATTTAAAACCCACGGCTCAATTTTACACATTTCTTGCCGAGGGTGCTAGTGTGGGCTGAGCACCTTGCAATACATGGGAAGTAAGCAGACACAGGAATTGTTGGGGGGAGTGAAGGTTCAGATAAGTTTGTTTCAGTTAGGCACTGGCGAGCAGGCAAGCATTCTGGAGCAGAGACACAGATGGAGGCATGTGAGAGGGGCCCACGTGCCCAGAAACACAGACTCTGCACGCATCCCAGCTGACATCCAGCACCATCCAGACACAGGTCTGAACCCCGGGGTCTGGAGGGGAAAGGACGCTTCGCTGCCCTCACTGCCAGTCGACATGTCCTCGTGCCTTCGGTTATGCTTCATTTCAGCAAGTGACTCAGCTGGTCCTGTAGGTTTGATGACTGCTCAACGCTGGGGACCAAACAAAAGGAGGTTCACAGTGAGATCTGCTCCCCAGACTACGCTGTACTGCCTGTGCCCAAGGGACCAGAACAGCTCTAGTGCTGACACTACAGCGAAGAGAAACCCTGGGGTTCCCCAACCCACCTCCGTGTCCCCACAAGGCAAACCTCATTTTGTGCACCCATAAGCAGACAGCTCTGCTCTACAACACCCTCATCTCCTATCACAAACAACCTCACAAGCTCTATCACGTTAATGAAACAAATGGAAGGTTTGGTACAAATCATCCCTTCGCTCAAATTCCCGTCTCTTCACAATACTGAAATACTATCCTGCTGGGCCCGCATCTGCTTCAAAGGCAGCTGTAAAAAGCTTTTCGCTCCGTTTTCCCCCACCCTACTCTATCACTTCTCCCTTTCCATCAACCCCCACACATGTCCCCCAGGTCCTCCTGGCATTCCTTCAGCTGAGTACTCACTTCTTCTGAATTGCTTCTTGCCTAGATGAGAAAAGGAGACAAAAAGAGCATTAGAAAAATAAAATCTCAGCAACAGGGTTCATGTTTTGTTGAAGAAAAGCGACTTGATCAAGGGCTCAGGAGGCCAAAACCCCAGTGTGTTTCTGGATTAAGTCCTGAGAGGGCAGCAGCGGCACTGGCTTTTCCCCCTTAGTCCTAGATGCATCACACACTCTCACAGGAGACACAGTGCATGGCAAACAGGAGGCAAAAATCTCAGCTCCCATCCCAAAACAGCCTGAGCCGTACCAGTGGAGCTGGAGAAGGCTGGAAGATCCTAGCTCCAGGGTCTGCTCAGCTTTGAGGAGCTGTGCAAGAGGGATGGGTCTGAGTGGGCTTCATGCAAACTCTTTAAGTAGAACATAAAGGGATCGAGGGATCCATTCAGCTCCCCAGAAAGAACGTGCTGTCCCCTACTTACTGGTACTGTAGATGAGTGGTTATTATGGCCATTTTCCTTAAACTCTGTGGAGAACAAGACAAAGAATGAATGTCTGATGGGAGCAGTTCAGCAGAAACACAGGGCAAGATGTCCCAATGCCCCAGGTTGTTCCTCCAGCACGGCCATCACTGTACCACTGCACTGTCTCCAAAACATGCCCCCCGCCATATCTGCCAGCAGTGGCACACTCCCCTCTTCTTTCCCAATGACAGGCACTGACACCAAGTGCTTCATTTCAACCTATGGTCCCTCAAGCTTGCCGGTAGAGATGACACAGCTTAAGGGCTGGCTTGGGCTGCAGAACGTTGGAACCACACGTGTGTTTGAAGAAGGCCTAAATTATTCTGGCCACTAGCCCTGCTGCCTGAACTCACGTATTTCATTTCAGGGCTCCAGTAGCACGTCTGCGTATCTGTTCTTATAACCCTCCTCTCCTCCTGTCCACTAGAAACACTGTTGCTCTAGCAGATAAACACAGCTTACATCTTCCGAGTGCAGGATAGCATCTTCTTGCATCACCATGTTTCTAGCAGCTTGACCCAGGAGCTAAAAGACAAATGCACAGACCAGACTGAGAGGCAGCAGCTCTGCGCTTCCCGAGACACTCGTGACAGCTGCTCAGCAGACCTGCACGCAAGACTGACAGTTCAGGGACTCCGGGCGACACGGTGCGAAGTTTGTGGGGAGCGCGGAGGTACCGTGCCCACCCCTCAGAGCACACAGGCTCAGGGGGAGCCTCAGGCACCGCTCCAGCCTGCCGCTCTGGAGAGACGTGAGGAGGGAAAGGCAGCCTCCCGCCTCCCACCACCTCCCCAGCGCTGTCAGAGGCACCCGGAGCCCAAGAGCCCACCGGCGGTGCCCCGCCGGCCCAGCCATGCCCACAGCCCGCTCCCAGGGATGCCTCCCCCCGCCTCGCCCCGGACTACAGCTCCCAGCAAGCCCCGCGGCGGCCGGCCGCTCCCGCCGGCCCCGCTCGGCACTGCCCAGGGACGCGGCCGGGCCGGGCCGGGCCGGGCCACATCGCCCGCCGTCCCCGACTCCTCCCCGCAGGCCTCCCGGCCGCGCTGCATGCCGGGCCCTGTAGTCGGCCGTCCGACGGCGCCCGCCGCTCACCTCGGCGCTGCGGGAGCCCTTCAGCACCTGCTTGGTGAGGGCGATCACGTCGGTGCCGCAGCTCGTCACCTTCTCGGTCAGAAGCCCCTTCACCGAGTGGCCGAAGCGCGCCTGGGCGTCCGCCGCGCCCCCCGCCGCCATCTTG